AAAATATATATATTAGGAAGACAAGGTAATTGTCAACAATAAATTAACATAAGAAAAGTTTACCAGCCAATTGCTATCATTCCACTTCTTTTCAATCAAGTTTTTCCATTTCTCAAGGTCACATTCAGGCGGTGGGTGGCTTCTAGCATACTCCTCTCCCTTAGCACTTTTAAGGTTCAGGTATTTTATTCTTAGTCGGTAGGTATGGGTGCTCAAGCTCCATCCACGCTTTGTTGCCACCGCTTTGCTAACATCTGTGGATTCACCTTGTATGTCAAATTGATCATAGCAACAGCCACAAATATTGTGAGTCATAATTCATTATATTACATGAATTCAATCAATTATGTAAAACTTTTACCGTTAGATGCTGAAACATAGGTGCTGTAACTTCTTCGTTGATATGTTTCCACCTGCGAATGCTAAAGTCTGGCAAGTGTGTTCGGACCTCAACACCAATTTTGGAGACTAATTGAGAGGCATGATCCCCCACTGGTGCACGATACTCCTGTGGTATGGGAACTTTGAGCTTTCCATCTTTCTGAACCATTGCTTGAACCTTAAACCCGCGTGTCAAGCCACGAGGGTGTCTACTAGGCACTATTGTAAAGACATAACATTGACTGGTTAGTAATTAATTACAGCGAAATCCTAAATGCAATATAAGCAGCTTTATTTTGTTGTTGTTGAATAAGTCATAAAATAAAATGATAACATATAGAGATATACAAGGGGTATTCCCCAGGCCTTACAATACCAAACAAAAAAGCTAGAGCTATACAAGAGAAACAAAACCAAACAGATAAACTAAACTAAATAAACTACAAAGAGAATCATCCTAAAATAAACCACACAAAGGAATGTTCATTCGCCACATGAGGAAACAAAGGCTATGAACACTCAATAGACTAGGCAAAACAATACAAAATACATTTGCACAACCCTCAAGAGAGAAAAAGCAAGCAAAACTAGAGATTAAGCTGTGTGGATTAAAAGCTCTTTAGTCTGACAACAAGAGAAAGTACTCAAAACATGCTTGACTTAATGGGTATCTAAATGCTAATGATGATTCTGAAATGAAATCATAAGTCACAAAACAAGCAATATTGTCTACAGAGGTTTAATTGATGAAGAGAATAATTTGAAGCTAATAAAAATGGTAAAGTAAACTGTGTTCTCTGTTATATCAAAGTCAATGGCACACCCTTATCTAATGTTACTGTAACTAGTTCAAAGTAAATTGCTAAAGTAAACTGTGTTCACTGTGTAAACTGTGTTACTATAATGGCACACCCTTATCTAATGTTACTGTAACTACACCCTTATCTAAAGTAAACTGTGTTCTCTGTGTTCTCTGTTATATCAAAGTCTCTGTTATATCAAAGTCAAATGGTTTCCAGTAACTACTTCAAACCCTGCACTCAAGAGATTTCAGAAGCAAATCCAAAATAAATTATTTCGTAATGACCACTTAGAACATTTTCCTTTCAACCCACACAAAAGGAAAAGGTACTAGTAAAACATTGCACATGTTGTGAAAAATACCTTAAAATTAACATTGCATAGAAGCTGAAACTTTGAAACAGAATTAACTAATCAAAACATCAAAAGGGAAATATAGTTTAGCTCATGGTTGATTAAATGGTGTTCCATGTCATGTTTGTCGTTTCATTGGCTAGAACCCGACCTATCTTCACAAAAGAATGAAACAATACAAGAAAAATAAAGGAAAAGAAAAAACAATATAGTTCTAAAATGACAGCAACCATAGTAAGAGCACTAATTTGTAGACTAGACACACGATAGTTTCTGCAACTTGCTATGATTTAAACTAAGCATTTAGAGATTCATACTTTGGTTTGTAAACAATGGATGGTTTGGTTTGTAAACAATGGATGGATGTTTGACTTGAATAGATGGATGCATTTGTTTTGTTATTGATATCAACACCAAAACAGATTGCAAGACCAAAACAGAACAGATATATTGCAACAGATATGGATGGATGTTTGACTTGAATGGATGGTTTAGATTAGTAGTAGTGCTACTACATTTGTTTTGTTATTGATAACAAGAGCAACACAGATTGCAAGACCAAAACAGAACAGATATATTGCAACAGATATGGATGAATATTTGACTTAAATGGATGGTTTAGATTAGTAATAGTATTGTTGCATTTGTTTTGTTATTAATAACAAGACCAAAACAGATTGTAAGACCAAAACAGACCCAAAACAACACAGATATATTGGAAGACCACAATAGCACAAATATATCTTGTCCGACCAAAACAGACCCAAAACAATACCAACACAAGTCCAGGACTGGAATAAAAAAAGTTTGCAGGTTGTATACATCTATTGTATGTGCTGTTTGTGCTTTCTAATAATGACAACACAATCCATTAGTCCAACACCAATCCAACACAATCCATCATCAATAACTATCTATTAGTCTATCACAATACAATCCATTAGTCCAGCATCTTAAAGTTCAATTTCAGAAAAAAAAAAAAAAAAAAAAAGGAATTTTGCACCAAGAAAGTTTTCAGAGAACAGAGTATGCTTTAACTGTTAGGCACTCAAGGTCAGTAAAACTTTTTTATTGAAAACTTTCTCTACAATTTATTAGAGTAAAACTCAGTTTTCAGTAAGGCACTCAAGTTTTCTTTAACTGTTAGGCACTTAAGGTCTAGAACATTCATTAGAGTATGTTCTTTTGCACCATAGAATTATATTAAAACAGAGGATTTCATTTTAATAGTAAAATTTAGCATCTGACCGACACTAGATCAGGGGGCTGCCTCCCTCGGTGCCTCTATATCGACATCAAGTGGTTGTGAGTGTTGGGTGTCCACATTGTCATGTAAATCCCCATTCGGAACAACAATTACCTCGTGCGAAGGTTGAGGAGATGACTGCGCCAATCGGTTGGGTTGCATTGGTAAGCCCTAAAAAACATAATACAAAAGCATAAACAATAAATACATAAAAATGGATAAGTAAAGATATGTATATGGAAACTCATCAAGGTCACTGTTGATATTTGTAGTCTGATCCAGTCAACTCCTTCTCTTCCCAAGACTAGTCCTGATAAGCTTATTTAGACTCCTTCTCCTAATGGTTTATTCTCTATAAAATCTGCTTCTCTCCAGATTTCTATTTTAAGGTTGATTCCTCAATTAGTTTCATCCACTAGAACAATAATCTACGAACTACATACACCATGCAACATCATCCTAAATGTGTTAAGTCAATTCATCCATAATTAAGGCAAATAGGTAATGATAGAAAGTTATCCCTTGATGCATTGTTACAGAATAGCTAAAAGAATTGGGATACCCACATCTAGGCAAATGTTACCGAACTCACACTAGGAACAAAAAAAAAAAAATACAAAAGCATAACGAAATATCACCCAGTAATACAATTCTAAACTCACTTTAGTCTGATAATTCCAACCTTCTTGTGCTTATCAATTTTAAATTTTTTTGTAGTTAGTTAAGCAATCAATCTTGCCCCGTGTTCATGGTTTGTCTCTTAAAACAATAGTTGCAACGGTACATGTCTTTTATTGTCCTTTCTCTTTTTTTCTTTTCTTTTCTTTTATTCCCCAGAGTTGCATGTTCAACCTTCTGGATTATTTAATTTTTTGCTGTCCATGTTCATGGTTTGTCTGTTAAAACAACAGTTGCAGCGGTACGTGTCTTTTCTTGTCCTTTCTCTTTTTTTCTTTTCTTTTATTTTATTCCCCAGAGTTGCATGTTCAACCTTCTGGATTATTTAATTTTTTGTTGTCCATATACATCATTTGGCGTCGATGTTTTAACATTATTACCATAGGATGGTAGGATGTTTTTTTTTTTTTTCTTTTATTCCCACGTTATTACCATAGGATGGTAGGATGTTATTGGAGGCTTTATTCCCTTGCAGAGGCTTGAATTATGTCGCTGGTTTGCCTCTTGAGAGGAAAGGACTTCAAAACTCTTGAAACTGCAGTACAAATTATGAACACCATTCTATTATAAAACAAAACTGATAAATAACAGTTATCTTTAGATCACAATACGTTTTCCACCTGTCGTCCATGAAATCACTTGCCCTATCACAAGAAATTGGTCAACATGAGACAAGTTATCCCAAATATTTAAAATGCAACAACTTCTGAACAATGGGCATATATAAAGGACTTCCCCTAAGGATTTTGTTCTTTGATGTTTACACACAGGTTATATCAGAAAAAAGACTAGGATCAGTTTGATTTTCCTAATATCTTTTACCAGGATATTGATCATTGTGGATGGGGAATGCATTATAGTCCCTGCAGCTGGCTATTCCTTTTGATTGGTCACAGGAGTTGCAATCAATCCAGCTGCTCTGTCAACTTCTACGGATGGTGTAAAGAGGGTAGAGCTTCTTAAGATCAGTTTTTCCTTGCGTATGGAACTAATGCTACAAAATTGATTCATCTGTATTTCAAATTTAATTTTTCATTACATGCCAGCTTTTTTATCATTCTTGCTAAGAAGATTTAGATGCTGATCTCAAAATTGTTTATACTTTCATAAATATTGAATTGTTAGAAGTGTTGTAGATTGTAAATATGACTTATCAATAATTATGGAAGAACATTGATATAGGGTTCAAGTCTTTGCGAAATCTGTATTATTCATTCTTTGAAACATGGCAAAACGATGCAACATGTAGTACCACATTTTTTCCTAACTGGTTCCTTTTGCAGGTTTCTATCTGTGCTGGTGCCTTGTTAGGGAATTTGTTGTTGAGGGCCTACTGATGTGAGGTTACTTTTTTGGATTGGTTTCTATATTCCTAGTTTGAACACTGAGGTTGATGTTATGGAGGTTGTATGTAGGATGTATATATTCTAGTTTTATTTTATGACTTGTTCACCCAAAAAAGTACATGGAAATATAAAGATGGTATTAACAAAGCATCATTAACGAATATACAGCTATGAGACATGATAACAAAAATGAATGGCTATACATATAATACCTCATCGTCAACACTTTCAAAGGACTCAGCATCATTAGTGTCATCTTCATGATCTGACGGTATGTAGTCATCATCATCTACCTCAACCCTAATGTTCTTTCCCTTCTGATTAACACGATTGGGCTGAGTAGAACCCATCAAAGAAGCTGCTAAATGCTTCAATTGCAGAGCATCCATTTTCTTTTTATTCTTCTTGATTGCCTTATATCTTTCCATTTCGTACTGTGTTCGCTTTTGTTTTGCTAGAAAACCTGGTTTGATCCATTGTTTCTCCCCTTTGGCCATTTTGGTAACTAAAAAGCATAAATTGATATAAAACATAAAATATAAAGCAGAATATTTACTTAAAGAGACACAACAAAATATAGCATAACTATGTAATGCATTAAAACCATATGTCCATATAGAAACCTAAAAAAAACAAAAACTAAATATCATAATCCATATCAGGATCCATATCATCATCAAGTATGCCAAGTTATTCATCTTCTTCGTCATCTCTACCATCTCTCTTTGTTTTATTCGGAATAACCTCAGCTTCAATATCATCCCTATGAAATCAAATAACATCTTCAATGTTGATCAGGACACCTGAGTTAATGTTTTCTTGTTGGAATGCATCATTAAATTCTGGTTGATCTAGTGGTTCTCCATCACCAACCTCTGGTACATCAAACACACCCCTATGTTGGACCTGTTGCACGACTTGCCAAGGTTGCCCCCATTTGGTGTCATTCAGGTAGAACACTAGTTTAGCTTGACTAGGCAAGATAAAAGGGTCAGATTGATACCATTAGCTTGTGACATTGATGCTTGTGCAATATGTGTCAGCTCGTACTGTTTTACTTCTACCAGTGTTACCGGTGTTGTACCATTCACATTGAAAGAAAACAACTTTATTTTGACACACGTACTCAAATTCCCAAATATTGCACAAGTGACCATAGAATTCGTGCATCTCTCCCTTGTAGTCCCCTTTGGTAAGCACACCACTATTTTGACTCTTACGACGATTGTCTAATTCCTTCGTATGGAATCGTACACCATTGATTATACAACCCGAGTACTCTTTCACTAGCAAATTAGGCCCATTCGCTAGTGACCACAATTCTTCGGTTGCTTTTGGTGCCTTATCAACTCTCAATCTATTTATCTACATCCACATGCAATGTGCACCACTTGAATTATGTTGGTAATGTTTGTATTTTATACAAGCCTAATAGTGTTTGGGCAATTGTGAATATTAAAAATGACTTGCATATTCTTTGAACCACTTCGGAAATTCCTTCTGTTGTATCTGAGTTATATCTTGTCCAGTGGAAATTTGTAACAAATTCTTGTGTTCCCTACTCAAATAGTTTTGGTTAATGAGTGAAATACTACTATTATTAATGACTAATAACATGAAAAATGTTAAAATATATATAATTATAAGAAACACGTACTGAAGATACTTCTCTATCTCAGGGCTATTGTATAATAAGAACCAATGATCAATATCACGAATTTCCTATGACATCTCAACATGCTTTCTAATTTGGCCAATAGGACGAGCAGTTTCGGTGAATATTGTCAAACCTTGATGCCGGACTCCATAATCTTCATTTCGTGCATCTCGATTATGCACGGTTTCAATCCCTTCAAGATACATTGAGCAAAAAGTAATGCACTCCTTGATAATGTGAGCCTCTGCAATAGAACCTTCTGGTCGAGCTCGGTTGTTGAGAAACTTTTTTAAAGCTCCAAGAAACCTTGAAGAGATAACCAATTAGGATTTAGTTAGGCACACAACATAATCTACACCTTTCATTTGAAACTGCAATTTTAGAAATTACCTTTCAATCGGGTACATCCACCGATATTGCACAGGTACTCTGAGAATAGTCTCATGTGGCAAGTGAATGGCCAAATGAACCATCACATTGAAGAAGGCTAGAGGAAAGATCTTTTCACACTTACATAGTATGAGTACTATGCGTTCCTCTAATTTCTCCATTTCACTTCGTTTGAGTGTCCTTGAGCATAGATCTTGGAAAAAGCTACCTAACTCAAAAAGTGCTATACTGATCTCTTTATCTATGTAACCACGCATCACAATAGGAAGAATCCGTTGTATAAGTACATGGCAGTCGTGGCTTTTTAATCCTGTTAATCTACCATTTTTTGCATTCACTGATCTCGAAATGTTTGCCGCGTACCCATTTGGATACTTGACTGATTTCAAGAATTCAAAGAAACCCTTTCTCTCTTTAGGGGTTAGTGAGAAGCTGGCTCGAGGTTTGACATATGATCCATCGGGATTGTTTGTCAGCCACAATTCTTTCCTTATATTCATATCTTCTAAATCCATTCATCCCTTATCTGTATCCTTGTTCTTCCCATCAATTCCCAACATAGTTCCAACAACATTTTCACTAAAGTTTTTCTCCATGTGCATGGCATTAATGTTGTGTCGAAGACTCTTTTTCTTCCAATACGGTAGCTCATACAAGATGCTTACCTTCGTCCAATTTGGGTTCTGATGAGGTCTTTTCCTGTTGCTTCAATGTTTTCCATATGTGACACCCGTCACGCTGCCCAATTGTTCTTCAATCTTTTCTATCGGTATCACCAAAGATCTCTTCCGTTTTTCATGCTTGCCATTATATGCTCTACTCTTTCGCCTTTCTGGGTGGTCATCAGGCAAGTAGCACCGATGGTTACTGTACGCAGTCTTATTTCTTAAAGATTCAAAATATGGTTCATCATTGCAAGTGTAACAAGAGTAATGACCCTTTGTTCTCCATCCAGACATGTCACCAAATGCGGGCCAATCATGTATCATCCACAACAAAGCTGCACGCATGCAGAAAGTCTCACCAGTCGAGGCATCATAGGTTAATGTACCATTTTTCCATAATTCATTCAATTCATCCACTAAAGGTCTCATGTAGACATCAATATCAATTCCTGGTTGTGATTCACTAAGAATAAGTAATGACAGCATGAAAAATGGGTCCTTCATAGCCAACCATGGTGGCAAGTTGTATGGAATGAGTACGACAGGCCACAAACTATATGAGTTATTCATATTTCCGAAAGGGTTGAACCCATCAGTAGCCAACCTTAGCCTCACATTTCGAAGCTCCAAGGCGAATTCAGGATGTTGTGAATCGAATTCCTTCCACTCATCACTATCTGCAGGATGCCTCAATACACCGTCATCTAGACGTTTTTCATTGAACCATTTCATATCCTCGGCTCTCTTTCTCGACATGTACAACCTTTTCAATCTCGGTGTTAACGGGAAGTATCGAAGGACCTTACGAGAGATCTTCTTACCTCTACCATGATTTGTCTTGTATCTAGAAGCATTACAATTTGGACATTTATCCAATGTTGCATTCGCCTTCGAAAAGAGCACACAGTCATTTACACAAGCATCAATGAGCTCGTATGACAAACCCAATTCATGTAATATTTTTTTAGCTTCATAAGTTGACTTTGGAACCAAATTATCCTTCGGTAAAAGTTTAGTTAAAAACTCTAGCATCATGTCAACTAACTTATTACTCCAATGGTTTGTTACCTTCATATTAAGTATCTCGATGACAAACTGTAACAAAGTGTAATTTGTGCAACATGGGTACACCTCACGTTTGGCATCATTCAATAATTTATCAAAAGTGCAAACCTCCTCCTTCTGGGTTGTATTAGTTGATTCCCCTCTTATTCGATCTTCCATTAAGGCATCAATACCTCCCAAAACCTCATTGCCCTTAACGGGTATATCATGATGATGAGCCTCATTTGATTCACGGGGTTCCCCATGCACGTACCAAATAGTGTAAGTTGAAAGAATCCCATGTTGCAGCAAATGAATTTGAACAATTTGAAAATTATGACGAACATCATTCACACACTTTCGACAAGGGCACAAAATTTTACCATCTCGATCGATAACCGCCATTGCAAAATGAAGAAATGATATTACCCCATCATAATATGCTCAACTTATCCTTCCATCAACTGTGCTACCTAGTGCAATCCAACTCTTGTCCATGTCTGACTATGCCGAGTTAATCAAAGGTAGGTGAATAGGACAAATTTTAGATATAAAAATGTATATATATATTTTAATTAAAAAAAAAAAAGTTGAAGTCCAATGATTATACTAAGTTATATAAATTTTAACCACATAAATCACATGAGAAAATAGCCAAAGCAATTTAGCGTAAACAGAAGAAGTATTCAAAACCAAAACATAAACCACAGCAAAATAACCATCAATAAGAAGACAAATAACATGATTCAGAGAAAATTTAACCAATAAAGCAGTGAGCTGAGAGTAAAAAGCAGATAACATGACACGGAAAGAAAACCCACAATATGCCACATTGAGTTTCTAAAGCAGTCAATTTAAGTACTCAAATATCCAAGTGCAAAATGTTATGATTGAACTACAAGTATTTGGAAAAATATATATATGCCCCGAATACCAGAATTGACACATCTATTAACTAAATTGGGATATTGAAAAAATAATACATTGGGAAACAATAACTATTTTGGCTCACATTTTACTCGATAAACAAAATGTGATTAAATTCTGCAAAGGAACTTAATAATGTACTTAAGGAGCTATGCATATAAGAAATGAAAGATGCCAATAGAATTGATAGCCACATGCGACAATTCCAATGAATGGCCCGAGACTATAATTTAGTACTTATGGTCTGTTACTGCAGTTAGTACTCTGTTTGATTTTCTCTTTACTCAACTATATACGAAGTCTAGAGAAGTTAAAGCAAGATATGCTAATTTAAGGGTGTAATATTCCAATTTTCATTAAATCGATAGTTGTGAGAGAAAAAATAATTAATTAATAACTATTGAGTAAAAACCTATAGATCTAAATTTTTATATAAAACAACACCCAATTAATACACATTAATATCTAATGAAATGTTTCCAGAGTCAGTCAAATGAGATAAATAAAATAAAATAAAAATAAAGAAAAAAGATTCACACTCTACCCTATATCAGTACACGATATAATATAGTATAAAAATTATATAAATTTATAAATTTTATAAATATATTGACTTTTTTTTAATAAAAAAAAAATCAACAAAAGAAAAGTTTCTTGATGAAAATTGCAGACGTACAAAGAGAGTGTACAATATACAGATACATCAATGAGAAAATCCATAGAGAAATGCATCAAACTGAAACACAAATGAAAGACAAATTGGAATATGATATTAGAACACCAAAAGCAAGATATTGATCTCAGAACATTAAAAAGATATTCACTTCAAGCAGACAAAGCTCAAAGATATCATATATACTAATCAGGTCTCCACATTTCAGTTTTTTGGTCACTAATTTTCTTTGGCATCCAACGTGCCTTTTTAAATGAAGGTGCATAATGCTAAGGGCACAAAGGGAGCTAGTAAAAGTAATTTAAAGCATAATTAGCAAATAAAGTATATAGCGTAAATTTAAACTTAATCTCACCTATTTTTGTCAACAAAAATTAAGATTTATTGATGTAAAAGAAAAGGTTATAGAAGTACACCGCAAATACAAAAAGAAACTTAAAGCTGTATTGGGAATAAATTAAAAAATATTACAAAAATAGTCAACTCTTTTCTTTCCATTTTTATACGTTTTCTTATAAAAAAGAATCAAAAATCAACTTTTCAAAACAACCCTTAATATGATTAACATTCACGATTCATTTAATTTTTGAATAAATTTTTCGAGCTCTGTAATGTTGCTATAAATGAGAATTAGTATATAGAATTAGATACAAACATGGGGTCATTTTAGGGAAACTTAGAGCTGACTCTCTTATATGTTTCATATGGGATTTTAGGAATCAAAGATTGTAAACTAATCAACTCAACATTTATATGCTAAGAAAGTAAAGCATGCAGTGGTCCTTGAGAACAAAGTAGAAATGAAAAGTGAGAATAAATACTAGTGTAATGGAAGACTAAACCATAGACTTAGGCTAGAGAATCCTCTTTACAATTAACTTACCATTATTACCTTTATTCTTAAACATAAACAACCCTAGAGAATAAAAATTTCCACATGCACATTCTCTGGAGTTGAGCTTAATGAGTAAATGGACTAGCTAATGACACAACAAACCAACTTAACTTACCGTAAGGACTTACTAATTAGGTCCCCCACGGTAGATAATTAATAAATACTTATGGTAGTGACTTTAGCAACACAAGTACTAAACCCACCAAATAGTTTTCTAAGTAGGTAATATGACTCTCAATGGTGTAGCTAGAAGAGTCCATGTGAGGCTAAGTAGCTAGAAACCCTTAACCAAACACAATACCATACCATAGGATGATAGGAGAGTTACATTCCAAAGCTGACAGATGCAAACCCTAAATAGGCTATGACTTGTTACACTGACTGACAGTGCTCTAAAAATTCTGATATTTCCTCCTCCTTTTCCTCCAGTGATGTCTCCAGAAGAAGGGTTATTATCATCCCATGGAAGAGGATAAGGATATCGGAAAGAAGGGTTTTGATAGAAATCAGCTCCTCTTACTTCATTACCACCAATTCTACTAGTGAACCCAACTGGCCTCACCGCCCGTTGAGGTGGGTGGGCAACAATAGGCAATGTTGTTTGAATCTTGTATGGTTGGACTTACGACTCTTGCAGGTCTCCTTAGGCTGTGGGTGCTTGTTGGTTGGAGCTGCTCCTTATTTCCTGTAATGAGCTTCTTTGCAGGTCCTGCTGGTATCTCTTCAGGGATGCCAAAGCAGCAGCCAAAAGCAACACCATAGTAGCCAAACAGCAGGTAGAACATGTTTTCACATTGTGGTTGTAGAATTCGGTTCTTATCAGTTGTGTAGAACATGTTCAGATCGTCTAGAGACCACACTCTGCAATTTTCGTGGAGTAGTTCAAAACAACATATTTTCACTTCAACGACAAAAAAGAAAAAAGAAAAAAGAGGAGACAGGAACACCAAGAAGAAAATGAGCAGAGATAAAGACTAGAGAAAGCACTGCATTCAAACTGAAATGAATCTCTCAAACCTATCCTAAAGAAACATATAAATCATGGAATGGGTACAGAACAACACATTATTCAGTTATTTATTTTTATTTTTAAATTATTCAATCATTCCAGGCATGTACAAGGATCAAGCATGTACAAGGGTGATAAATTTAATTTCAATCTATATTTGTTTCAGCAGCCAAATAGAACACATTTGAAGATTTTCCTAGTTTACAACACCACAAATATACAGTCTAACTCTACCAACGAAAACCAAAAAATGTCTTGGTGAAGAACCTTTATACAGTTTAGTTGAAGAAATTCCATGTAATTATTAGAATAAAAACATTAGAGAGATCACACAAGCTTTTCTTAAACTCAAGTTAGAAAATAGAAGTTCCCAACACAAATTCTTTTAACATTGCTCCATTATGTTATCTGGGAATGAGAAGCAGAAACTTATCGGTCTATAATCAATAATCCTCTCGGGCTCTTTAAATGATGACATGGGACAATTCCACTGAATAACGATGAAATTTCTTTTTGAATGGGTACAGATTTTAATGGTCTAACTCAATAAGCTCAAACCAGAAAGTGTAAACTTATACCTTGTATTTCTTTTATTGAATACTGTTTAACTGATAAGAAAATTGAAGAAAGGAAGAATTGGTCTTCCATGACTATAAATTAGGCACACGAAGTTACATGGATTATTTACTCAGTAGCAGAGCAGAGCAGAGCATAAGGCATGTACAAGGATCCTCAAATAGCCAGGCATGGTATCCAAGAAGAATCAGGAGGATGATCACAAAAGCAAAGGAATTGATCGATATCATGACGTAAGTAATCAATTTTATTTTTTTATGAATAACCTAAGTAGAAAAACCTATAAAATAAACAGATATTGAACAAACATTCAAATATAGAGAGGAGTTGAACCCTAATTTTATTAAAAATACAGACAAACAATCCAAATCATATAAAATATTCACATTTAGTCAAGGGCTTTTACTAAATTCAAACTGTTAATTATAATCAATAGGATATTCATTCTCAAGTTTATAGCAGAAACAAGCAAAACACATTAAGGATGGCCAAGTTTACAATTTACACATTCACAATTTATTGAAGAGAAACCTTGCTGGAAATAATAAAATACAGCATTAATTCTAAAAATTAATTTCAAAAATTAGGGAAAACATTAATTTTGAAAATTAGGGAAAACAGAGATAGAAAAATAGAGAAATTGAGAGAGAGAGAGAGAGAGGGGAGAGAGAGAAAGAGGACCCATACCTGATGGAAGAGAACACACAGCAGTAAAGGAGATATGACGTCTGTGGCGGCACTGAAGGAGGAGAACAGGGACGTTGGCAACGGCGCTAGAGAAGAACACACTGAAGGGGCGCCGGAGAAGAACACACAGCACTTGTGTTTTGAGAGGGAGAGGGAGAGGGAGAGAGATAGAGATTGATAGGAAAACTGATTCGTCAATAAACAAATACTTAGCACTTGTGTTTTGTTTTGAGAGGGAGAGACAGATAGAGATACAGACTGATACGAAGACTGATCCAAAAAAAAAAGGAGGGAAAAATAAACTGATCAAAAAAAAAGAGGGAAAAATAATTTAAGAAAATTGATCCCAAAAAAAAAAAGGGAGGGAAAAATAATAGACTATTTTTTTCATTACTGCTTAATATGTCAAAATTCTTCTTTCAAAATTAGTGACAAAACAATTTTCTCACTAAAAGGCCTAAAAATATTAAAAATTATTAGTGACGAAAATATTTTTCTCACCAAATGGTCTTAAAATATTTAAAATCAAATTTTTAAAAAAAATAAAAATAGATTATTGGTGACGCAAATATATTCCTTATTATTAATTTTTTAATTGTTGAAAAAAAAAATTCTCACCAAAAGTTTCAAAATTTTGG